TAAAAAAAAAACAAGAAGAAATGTAATGGATCAAAGTATCAATGTAAAAAATAGAACTTCAAAAGTACTAGAAGAAAAAAAAATGTCCCTCATTGACCCATAGCACATTGGGGGACAACACTGGAGACACAGTACAAGAATTGCGACCAATCTGACCCCATCACACTGGGGTGAAACACTAAGGGCTTGTAATAGAGCAGCAAGGGGGGCAAAGCAATGATGTCCTCAGGGAATACCAAAAATAAACTTTGGGGACTTTGAATCCATCAGATTCAACTGGAAAACACTCCTAAAAGTCAACAAACAGACCTGGAACTATTTATAGGATTTTCTTTTTTTATTGTTGGTTTGTTGTTGTTTTGCAGGGTTTTTTGTTTGTTGGTTTTCTTTGTTATGTTTGGCTTTGTCTTATTTTGTATGTGTGTGCTTATTATTGTCTCTGCATGTCTATCTAGATAAAATAGGTGGGATAAACAATCTGGAGGAGAAAGTAAAGGGACCGATGGTTCCAGGGGACAGGGGAAAGGGGGAGGCAGGGGAAAGGAAGTGGGTGTTAACAAACCCAGAGGCAAAGGAGCAACAAGTGATCTAAAATCAATGGTGAGGGTGTAGGATGCTTGGTGGGGCTTAATCAAGGGCAATGCAGCCAAGAGGAAAAGACAAAATGGGTGCATAAGCAATTGTGGTGAAGAAAGCTGATGGTGCCTGGCTATCAAAAGGTATAGTGCCCAGGGTCTTAAAGGCTTGAAGATAAACAAGCAGTCATCTATATGAGAAGCAAAAAAGTCCACATGGGGGAAGCACACCAGCCTGTATGATCATGAGGTGTCAATGGGATCAGGTATCAGGCATCTAAGACCCAGAACAAAAAAATCTTATCAATATGAATGAGGGGGAGCGTGGAGTGGAGATCAAAAGTCCATCCGTAGACAATTGGACATCCCCTTACAGAAGGGTCACAAAGAAGAAACGAGCCAGTCAGGGTGCAGTATACAACTGATGAAACATTCAACTCTTCTCTAGTTCTTTAATGCTCCCCCCACCCCTCACCCACTATTATGACCTCAATTCTATCTTACAAATCTGGCTGGACTGGAACATGTACATGGTATAGACAAGAGCTGGAAACACAGCAAATCCAGGACAGATAAATCCCTCAGGATCAGTAATGAGAGTAGTCATACCAGGAGGGGAAGGAGAAAGTGGGGGGAGTAAGGGGGAACCAATCACAATGGTCTACATATAAACTCCTCCCAGGGGGACGGACAACAAAAAAGTAGGTGCAGGGAGACATTGGTCAGTGTAAGACATGAAAAAATAATTAATTTCTAAATTATCAAGTGTTCATGAGGGAGGGAGGAAAAATAATGAGGAGCTGATACCAAAGGCTCAAGTAGAAAGAAAATGATTTGAAAATGATGATGACAATGTATGTACAAATGTAGTTGACACAATGGATGTATAAATGGATTGTGTTAAGACCTGTATGAGCCCCCAATAAAATGATTTAAAAAACAAAAAAAGAGCTCGCAACACAGGGAATCCAGGACAGACAAACCCCTCAGGACCAATAATGAGAATAGAGATACCAGGAGGTTAAGGGGAAGGTGGGGGGGAGAATGAGGGAACGGATCACAATGATCTACATATAACCCTCGCCATGGAGGGATGGACAACAGAAAAGCAGGTAAAGGGAAAGAAAATGTTTTGAAAAAGATGATGGCAACATATGTACAAATGTGCTTGACACAATGGATGGATGGATGGATTGTGATAAGAGCTGTAAGAGCACCCAATAAAATGATTTTTAAAAATATGCTTTATTCTTTATTAACCTTATTGCTTAAAGAATTATTATGTTGGTCATATAATTAAAACAATAGAAGAGAAAATAAAAATACTAATATCCCAAAATAGCCACCCCCTCTTTTATGTATTTTCGCAGCCTTTTTCCTTATATAAAAAATATGCAGATTCAACACTTACCAGTACATCAAAATTTCTATATAATTCTATATATTTTTAAAATTTTGTTTTATATAGCTACACAGAAGTATCTACTTTTTGAAAATGACTTTCTGTTGCTGAATTGTATTCTGTCATATGGTGATACCACAGTTTTAATGTTACTCCTGTTTGTATAGCTTTTATTATTAAAAATTATTATTCTTAAAGTAATATAACTAAATGAGGAATAAAGCAGTATAACTAATAAAACCGAGAAAAGAATGAAATCACAACCCGTAATTCTTATTTAATGAACCTCTACATTAGTTTTTCATTCTCTTCTATTCTTTTTCCATATGACTATGATTATAATTAAACTACTCCCATTGCTATATCTTGAATTTATTTTATTTAACATTGTATTGTAAACATTTTTCATCCATTGTGGCATGTTGGGTGGAAGAATTATACTTTGCCTAACCATTACTTAATCCCAAACAGCCATCTGGCCTGTTTTTCTTTAAAAATTAAACACTTTGCAATAAAATTGCATTGACATAGTTTTTATATCCATCCATTAAATTTAAAATATTATTTTCCCAACGGTAGATTCTACAAGTAAAATTCCTGGGGTGGGGTGATGGAGGCAGGGGGAGGGGGGCGCATGGCCTATTTCTGTCATGTCTCTGGACCTAGTAAAGAGAATTTTAAAATTATGAATGTTGAAAACTTGGATCTCAAAATATAGAGAGTAACCCTGCCTCAGTGTATTCTGAACCAGTCCTTTTGGAGATTGAGAAATACAAAAATTGTATACAGGTATTGATTTTTAGTTTTCACTAAATTAGGGCCTCTTGACACAAGCCAGGCTGGGAGAGCAGCAGTGACCACTTGCATATGTTCCCACTGGGCACTTTTATGTGGTAGGGTGCTTTTATTTGTTTTCCCCCTGCTCTCAAAGACTGCACCCACATACCTTTCAGGTACAGTTCAGTTGCTGTCCCATCTCGCTCTTATGTGCGGGTTTAGAAATGCCTTCTGGGGCGGCTTCCTTTGTAGAGGGCTCTGAAATCCACAACAGGAGACCAGAGCAATTCTGATAGAACTATAAAGAAAATGGCCTGACTTACCGTTTCTAATGCCATTACACGGTCCTGCAAAGAAAGCATAATGTATCATTATAAAACCAAAGACGTTAAGAAATATCTCATCTTTACTTCATTTCCAAGTTTTCCATCTATTGTCGCTTAGTATATATTTTAACAAAGAGGAAAATTCCTGCTCAGATTCATCTCCTTTAAAAAAAAATCTTGATCACTACATTTTCTCTCATCTCAACGAGTGTTAGGTCCACCAATATGAGGTTTAATGCGAAAAACCATAAATTCAATGATTACCAAGAGGATTAGATCTTATAACCTATGCCTTGGTAAAATGATTGAGCTGCATAAAGGCATGTAACTATTCAATATATTTGAATATATGAATCACAGTAAGACAATTGTAGCACTATGCAATAGTTAAGACCCATGGGGTGGAGGTGCAGGGGGTGGGGAACAGTTGACAAAGATTAGACTCTCAAAAGCCCATCTTCAGAATGTAGCCCATGCCCTAGGTACAGAGTTCAACTAGGTACAGAGTTCAACTGTGGTCCCACAGGGAGCAAAAGGTCCGACACAAGAATAAGTCCATCAAACATTACTAAGTGAACTGGCAGGACAAGTCAATGAAAAGGCTAGGCCAATGCTGACTCCAGATGGGCTATCACTAACTACAGCCTCTGAGGAGGTTTTAAAGAGGTAAAACCAGCACAAATAATAATACTGCACAGATAGCAATAATTTTTTGAGGGAGGGATATGTATGATAGTTATAGTCAACTCTTCCCGAGGTGGAAGCTACACACAGGAGAGTTTAAATAAGGAAGGCTAAGTTTAGGGGGTGAACGTGAAGTTAAGATACTGGAAAGCCACCTCATTCTTTTTCTCGTCTTGTCTTACGAAGTTCGAAAAGTCTTTGAAATAGCAATCTTTTTGCTTCCTCAAATTTTTTAATCATCTGTCCTAATCAAGACAAGGAAGAAAAGGGGACAGAGAGCAGCACAGCTCAGCTCAGCTCAGCTCTCTGGTGGCCCTGCAGGGACTCCCAAAGGCCTATGACACTCAGGGCTCCCATGAACTTGGTGCTTCCAGCCTTATCTATATCCTCACACCTGGTGTGAGGGCTCACGCCTGCCTCTGGGGCTTCTGAGACCCAGAGGCCAGGACTCAGACTGAGTAACTGAGTTGAGCATTTTTACCCTTTCAACATTTGGCTAAATGGACACCAATTAAAAATGAGTGTATTAATGCAAAACCAGCCCAAAGCAGAGTGTTTGTAGCATTTTAATCTGTTTAATTGCATTTTGTTGGCACACTTGAGAGGAAGGACCTCACCCTTATCCCCATGATTTTAATAAAATAACTGATTTTTTCCCTGTGATGTGTGTATTGTCACATTTGAGCACTTCAAGAAAAATGCACACGATACTGCAAAGGGGCTGTGAGCTGCCGTGACTACACATTTTATTCACAGTGCATCTGGGACAAAACCACTCAGCAATGGTTTATCATCCTTTGCAGACTGAATAGAACTACTTATTAAAAAGCCATGTATAGACAGAGACAGCCTTTGGGCAGTGTCGCATTTATAGAAACCATATTAGAAGGCTGAGAATATTTATGGGCCCTAATTGCAAACAAAGTTTTTCCCACACTATGGGTGTAGGCTGGTATTATTTAAGATGAAAAACAAAAAACAAAAAACCCCAAAGCCCTTGCCATCAAGTCGCCTCTGACTCAGTGATGCTTCAGGGCAAAGTAGAACCACCTCGAAGAGCTCTCCAGGCTGTAATCGGCACAGAAGCGGATCGCCTCATCTTCCTCCTGCGGATGAGCTAGCTAGTGGGCTCGAACCCTATCACTATGGTTAGCAGCCAGGTACGTCACTTCTGTGACACCAGGGATCCTCTTGCTTTTAAAAGATCCTAGTCTGTAGGGTTGGGGTTGGGGTTAGAAAAGAAAAAAAATATATATATAGATAGATAGATAGATAGATAGATAGATCCTAGTCTGCAAGATTACAGACCTAAATGATCAGAAAGACTTCATTTTGTTATAATAACTATCAGTAAATAATACACTTGGATGAAATTTACTTGGCTGTTTTCACTTATATATAATCCACCTCATTCAAAATAGTGCTCAGGCTTTCCATGTAAAGATGTATGGAATATATTTAAAAAGAAATTAAGGATCAATGAAACTCATTCATTAATCTGAATGTCATTCACTGAAATGGCCTGTCTACAACAGCAGATAATAGAGAGCAGGCATTATTGTTAATTAGTGAACTTTCTGTAAACTATAGAGATTTTTGTTTGTTTTGAAGCTACATTGTAGGCTAAAAAGAAAAAGAAACTACGCCCAGTCCTTCTGAATGTAATACTTGCTTGGTTTTAAAACTTACAATATATTTTGAAAATTTTAAATGGTTGTAGCTTGTGCTTTTGGTAGACAATATTATAATTCTGTACATAAAGAATCAATCAACTATAAGTCCTTATTCTCCAAGAATATATTTGCATAGTTCCTATCACCTTCTTGTTATTAAAAGAGAGCCAACTTAAGCTAATATTTTGGCATCAACACAGTTCATTAAAAAAAAGCCAAGAAAGAAAAGAAAGCCAGTTTATATTCTAGAATGAACATAGAACCACATCAAAGTCAACTACAGTTCCCCTTCCCCCCACCCCTTGTCCTTAGGGCTCTTGTTGCGGTATTATTATTTTTTAATCTCTAATTTTCATTTCAACAGATTTTATCTTCAAGCTGAGTTTGAAGGTTCAACGTTTTCTACCCACCTCGACCTCTGGCACCTGGAAAGCAGAGCAATGTTTGGGAATGGAAATAGGATAGGAGTGGGGTCAACTGGTGGGAAGAGTGGAGAGGGTTAATGGTCCCCCGGCAGCAATGAGGAAACTCTCACTGTAATCATGATGCTTCAGAGGACTGTAATAAATCAGTGGTTCATATTTTTGTATTTAAGGACATTGAGAATTTGATGAAAACTTGGTCTTCTTCCCAGGAAAATGTACATTCTACACAGCACACAGGTATAATTTTACAGGTACTTTTAGGAGAGGCACAGACCTTCCAAAAAGCCTGCCCGTGGGCCTCTAAGCCTTTTCACTACAAATAAAAACACCTGAAATCAGATGAATAGAATGTATAGATTATATAAGCACATCAGTTCACTAAACTAAATCAATTAATTGCTCTTCTATAAAATATTTCTAGATAATTACCACCCATTATAAGGAAAAAACCATTGTGATCCCCAAGGCCCAAGGCGTGGAAGGGAGAAATTCCCTTAAAATATTTTGAAAAAAAAAAAGAAGGTTCTTTGGTGGGGAAAAAAGCACTTTTTATTGCTATTTTTATCTTTATTTCTGTGACCAAACAGTCCCTCTTACATTATACTTTCATTTTATTGAGGAGGATAAAGTGCAAGAAATAACTAAATTAATATGTAGCTCACTGCATTGAGTTACAATGGAAAGGACTAACATCTGTTCATATCAATAACTAAACACACGCCATTTCAAAGTGAAAACAATGCTGCCAAACATCGCATTTTAATTTATTCTGGACTTGGCAGACCAAGAAGGGAGAGACTTATGTGGGAGACAGCCTACAACAGAAGCATATTAAAAAGCTATAGTTTAGCTTTTATGATAAAGCTCATGCCTTGCCTTCAGTTGTATATATTCGTTTGTTACTTGGTCACTGTGGGAGCAACATTACAATCCATGAATGAGCCAAGGCACATCCATTAGTATTACTGATGGCAAATATTTGTAGGCCAAGGTGGGAAATGAGCATTACATGGACCATTGCATTGGAAGCTGAATCCCTGGTCATTACAGTTTATTGGATTCAAGTGAATCAATCAATTAGCTACAATGATTCATCCATCCAATTTAAGAGAAGAACAGAAAAGCCTACAGGTCTAAAACCTCAGGCTCTTAATCCTCTGGTCAGTTTAAGGACTTAATTCATTACAGTAGTGCAGCATTTTAGAAGATGGTTTTAAATCTATCCATTGGCATACAAAAAGCACAATACTGGCATAAAACCTAACGAGCGTCTCCATCCCTCCCAAGTCAAAGATGCTTTTAAGCGTATAGAACAATTCTGGAAATGTCTCTGGGACTGAAGGGCTATAATAGACACATAATTTTCAAAAAGACAAATCCAGAAGCAGGACACCTATCAGAATTTAAAAACACAAAGACTCTCCTGGAAGAACAAAACCCCACTCTGCTTTCCCCAAAGGGACTGCCACTGCCTGCTCTTCTCCCTGTCGGCACCAGCCCTGTTCCATCAGAACTCACAAGTCACGTGCTACTACATCAAGTACATAGATGGAAATCTGTTCTATTTTCCCCCTAGGCATTTCCCACATGTCAGTCAATTCCATTTAACAAATTTCCAGTGGGTATCTAAACAATTAAATGAGCAGGACATAATTTCAAGTGTTTTATTCTCTCTCAAAAAAAATCAGCATAACACATCGTGATCTAAAACAAATGAGACTATGAAGAGAAATGGCATTGCAGACAACCTTAATGCTGACACGCCAAAAGAAAAGAAACCTTTAAAATACAGCACGGAATGGTAAATTGGCTTTGAGGATACCAAATGCAACCGCGGTCTATACATAAAAAGCTTCCTAACAAAGCTTCCCAGCAGTTTGCAGTACTTTCCCAATCACAAGGGTTTGACTTAGCCATCCTTGGAGACCTGGATTCAAGTTCTGTTAATTCATTTCATAGTTTCTCATAGTACCTTTTCAAATCAGCTACCAATAACACAACAGAAATAATGAAAAGAAATACACGGCAAGATTTTTGTCTAAAAAAGTTACCAGCTTTGAACAAAAACACAGCCTTTTTTTTGACTTATCAAGGAAAGCCAATATAAAGGGATGTTATCCTGTCCTGGAAAAACATATCCTTTTGGTGGGGGTAAAGTACGTGGTCATCGAAAACTTGGGAAGTCTTCAATGAAATGGATTGGCACCAGAGCCACACCAATAACTTCACACATGCCAGGACACTGCTGAAAGACTGGGTCATGTTTTGTTTTATGATACATAAGTCCCCATGAGTCAGAGGTGACCTGAAGGTCACTAACAACGAAAGCATCATGTCCCAGCCCAGGAGGAGACTCAGTAATGGTACCTGTCTTTCACATGGCAAATTAAGAACAAAATCAAAGCTTGGGCTCTACCCCTGGGCAGCCTGATGTTCACCTGAAGTGTTTGTCTGCTCTCCATATTTGCAGGTAGGTGTGTTTTTAGGAGGCCCCCCCATTTCAGTTGGACCCTGTTCAGGAAAGGCCAAGGCAGCAGTTACCTTGAGCTGTGATGTGCTAGGGTTTGTGAGGTAGGGAGTACAGATAGCTTGGTGGAGGAAGATGACTTGAAAGAAATGGAAATGAAGTTCTCCTGGGTGGTTTCAAACATGGGAAATGCAGCCTGGGCAAGGAGGTAGGGGGTTTTGTTGACAGTTCCTGTGAACACTTCAGAGAGCTGCATGACTCCAGTAAGAAAGAATCTCAGAATTACCCTTTCTATTTCAGATCTCAAAGCAAAGTACTGGGCTTTTCTTCACCCTCCCCAGCCTCCCCAACATTTTAAAATGAAGACTTCCTTTAAGGTCCCTTCTTGAAAGCAAAAAATGTGATGTGGTGTATAGGTATGTGCCCACAGGATATAATCACAAGCAAATAGAATGATCTTTCTCCTGCCATGACTCCATTCCAGGGAAGCGGCCCCCAACAGGTTAAAAGGGTGTTTCTTCAGTGAGCGACATTTGAATTGAGAAACAACTGAAGATGATTTGGAGATATAATAAAAACAACGATGGTGGTTAGGGGCGACGCAAATGACAGCCCGATGATTTCCAAGATTGGCTCCCCGGAAACAGAGATGTACAGACAAGAACAGGAATAAAGGGTGAGCTGTAGGCAAAACCAATAATCCAGAAATCAGTACACCATATTTGCCCCCAAGGACTGCCATGGAAAAGGAAATTAAAGTACATGGCTCCCGTTGTACAGTTAGGCATACATATTTGCTCTGAACCCATAGGCCAACCATAGTGATATGGTAATGATGGTATGATTTATGAATATGTTTCTGTCCTACAGAACCTGTGGGCAGCAATAGGGCACACTTAGTTTCAGGTTTAAGAAGGGGTGTGTATCTGCCTGTCACTCAACTGAACAGTTGTAAGGAGACTCCTGAAGGCTGACATGGCCTTTGATTCCCTTGAGGGGGCATGTCCTCTGGGCTTCAGGGGAAGAAAGTTAAAAAGCAAACCCACCTAACCAAAGAACCCACTTCCCCAAGATCCTTTATGCTGAGTATTTGGATTACAGCACTTGATAGATAGCTAACATGGCTGAGTCATTAGTTAACACAAGTAAATTGTCCACCTTGGGAATGAAGTTGCGTACTTTTGAGCGATTCCTGTAATCCACATCCTAGTTGGGATGCAGAGTAATCTGCTCAATATTCTTCAGGAACTGAAGCACAAGAATAATACCATAGCGACCATCTTTCTTGCCCTTCTCCTCACCCCCACCCCCCACCCCGCCACTCTCACGTTCCTTCAGTGTCCTTCGGTGTATAGTTGCCTCTTATGGTTTAAACCAGAGGGGCTGCTGGCAAGGATAATCACCAATGAACAGCTAGTTTCCAAATAACATATTTGGCTGACATGAGTTAGGATTTCCCCTTAACTTGGTTTGATTTACATTAAAATGACCATTATTCTCTACTTACAAGGATAGATGTCCTGAAAACAAAGACAGGGGGGGAGAGGTATTTCAAACTAATCTAAAATAATCTGTCCACTGGTGACCAGTGGATCAATAGTGCACTGTTATTACGCTCGAAGGGTCTTTAAGAAAAAAGCCCCAAACTTAGTTTGTAACGGTGCATACCTGAGGGCTGACTTGCATGTCCCAAAGTAAAGCAGATGTATTTTGACTATTAGGCTCTAATATCCTAGAGATTCCTACCTATGAAATACTTAACTGCTTTTTCTTCAAATTGAGCTTCACTCTGATTTGTCACTGCGGTCTGACTAGCTTCTTCCCAAGGTAGATGTCTAACCAGTGGCTTCAGCTGTTCGAGAGAGGCGAGTAAAGAAAAGAAAAAGTTGGAAAGCTCTTTTATCTTAAAGAAATGGGAAAGTACTACAAATACTAATATCTCTACAAAATAACACTCTTAGGACTATAATTTCAAATGAAACTTTAAAAGTTCTGTATATAGAGATAACAACATCATTATAGTACTTATTAAATGCTCCCCTCAAATAACTCCTTGTCCAACAGAAAGTCACAGTTTTAGGGAAATCATTACTTGAAACTTGAAACACTTCACTTTCTGCAGGACTATAAATAAAGAGCTGTGATTTAATTCAGTGCATCCTCAATTTTCTTTGAAAATCTTCACTGAAAGTCACTAATCATAAACTCCAGAGTCTAGAAAAATAAGAGCTTGCTATCAGATACACTTGGACGGTTTCCAGTGGTGATCAAAGCTATCCTCCCCAACTACATTCTTGTGGGACTGTAGAGGGGCTAAGGAGCCCTGATTGCTCAGAATCATACTTTTCTTCATTTGCCAAAGTATTTAAAATCTACCAACTGTCACTTATTCTTTGAGCGAGGACTCAGAAATGTATTCTTTGATTCACCCTAACAAGTTCATTTTTCAAGTCAATTGGCCTTAGAGATAGACAACCATGATACCAGGTCATCATGCTAAGGCAGGGGTGGCAAAACAGGACCAGGGGACATATCCAGCCTCCTGAGCCTACAAACCAAGAGGGGCTTTTACAATTTGTTAATGGATCAGAAAACCCAAAGTAAGAATAGTATTTTCAGGACAGGAGAATGGCAGTAGTTTTATTGGAGCACAGCTTCAATCATCAGTGTATGCATTGTCTACACTTGCTTTTACACTGACACGCAGAGTGGAGTCACTGTCAGGAAGCCTGTGGTTGTTGGACGGCGCTAGTATGTTTCATAGGCACTCCCTGTTTCACAGAGGTGACCCTGAAGCTAGACCGCTAGGGTTTCTGGGAGGAGTGGACATGGTGAAACTCTGGCCAGAGTAAACGTAATAGTCATTGCATAATTTTCACTCAAATTCAAAACCAAATGTAACAGTTGCTTCTGGTTCAAGAGAAATACTCTGAATGTAAACTATTCCTCAAGCCCCATGAGTTTCTTCTTTTATCTACTCTGTGTGTCCACCCTTCATCGCTCCTTCCGATGTCTTTCCATGCTCACGTCCTTGCTTCCATGTCTCTCCACCCTGCCTCACCCCCACTAATGTATTCATTTCGTTATATCGTTCATTTGGGTTTTTGTTTTGTTTTTTACATTTACTGGACCAGGCTCTGGACACACACAGAAATAAGGTCCCTTTGCCTGGAGCTTGCCTTGCAAAGGAGACTATAAGGGGAAATATTCAGTCTGTAATCAGGGGCGATGGTGGAGACAGACTGGTCCATCTAAGACCTCATGAAGAGGTGATAGCGGAATTAAAATTCAAAGAGTGAAAACAGCCAGCTATTGAAAGAGCGATGGGGAAAGCATAACAAAGAAGAAAGCTCTTTGCAGGAACGGGGGTCAGGAAAGGGTTGGCTTTAAGGAACAAAGGAGACATTGGTATGGCTAGAAATTAAAACATCACTTTAAATTAAAAACCAGTACTATTTACCAAAAGTGCACTGGTGCCCAAACTGGATTGGGTAATTTTTGCTTGTGACCTCATTTCATGTTGTCAAACATTCTCAATAAGTGGATTTTATTAATTTTGTTCATTTAAAGTGAAATACGCAGACCCAAAGACATTAAGTACCTTAAACTCTGCATTGTGATTAAACGGTAGGGCTTGTACTGTTTGGCTCAAAGGAAATTACATTGACTTTCAAAACAAATGGAAGTTTAAATCAATTAATCAATCAGTCCCTTAATAGGTCTGCAAAGTGAAATGAATGGAAATCCTATATGCTGACAGTATAGTCTGATGAGCAAATAGACAATGTCTTTATTTTAATCATGAGTACTAGACGGGGGAGGAGGCAGGGAAAGGGGGCCACTGACAATCTGCTGTGAAGCCTCTTTCTTAAAGGGCCACAGGCGGGGGCAGTATGCTGGAACCTCGTTTCTAACAGGTGTCAGGTAGCGGTGTAACAAAACGTGCATTAAACCCTAATATAACACAATTTTCAAGTCGAAACTCTTGTATGCATTTTTACATTTATTTCACTGTGATAAAAGCGATTATCATTTTGTCATATGCTTTACTTAAAAGTCAGTGGCCACTCCTTTCTACTTCTTCTGGATCTGACATCAGACCTGCTGGAGTACACACAATTACCACCACTGGGGAAATATCAGAAAGCCAAGATCTAAACTTCATTAGTTCATGATATTATATAGCTAAATGGCCATGCTACTGTGCTGGTTCCCCAATTCTTTCTGGTCTGGCTACAGGGGTTTCGAGCCATCTCAGAGATCGTACAAATTCTTTCTCCTCCATTCGATTTAATTTGTGACATATTTATTAATCTCTCTTTAATAATAAAATAAGAACTAGAGATGTCAATTATAACCAGAATGCTATAAAGGCACAGAGTCTCTTAAAGGTAACACTTTACAACTTCATCTTAAGAGCAAATACAGAAATAATGGTAAGAAACTGAAAAACATTAAATGGTAGTTATAAAATAATAAGCCCTCACACTTTAAAAGCTAGAAATCAAACTAACAAATTAACTTTATTATAATAGTTAGTGGAATGCAGAGATATTCAGGAAAAGGAGTGAACTTCAGGAGCAATTTTTAAAAACAAAATAATCTCTGATTACAGTGGGGGGATAAAAGATATAAAAGGAGTCAATTTTTTCCCAGCTCAATTTAGTTTTATCACTTGTTACAGAATTTAAAATTTATGGAAAGTTTTTCAATGTTGTCCTTAATTTTGCCAGAATATGTTGAACTGGGTTTAAAACTGAAATGGAAGAAGCCCGAAGAGGGCTTTAATAACAACTTTGCTCAGTCTGTTTATTTAAAACACGATGAATAAGCAAAAAGAAAAGGTGCCGAATGGAAAAAGAAAAATGATCCCTTCTTCTTCCTAGAAATGTTCGGGATTTCTGCATTGCACAAACTCTTGTACCGGGAATGAAAATCTTCCCCATATGCCAGCAGTCAAATATAGACTATCTATCTATCCACTGCCCCAGTTGCCATTTTCCTCAAGTCTATTGGTCGATAGGCAGCTTCGGGGTTCCTCAAAGGGAGTCCGAAGTCCCACTATTATCACTGTGGCTGCTGATAGGTGCTGCGGGGCTGGCTCCAGCTCACAGTGACCCCAAGGACAACAGAAGCAAGCACCGTCCCGCCCCATGCCATCCACACCTGGCCAGGCTGAAGCCATCGCTGCAGTCTCAGGATCAATGCTTCAGGTTGGGGTGTCCCTCTGCTCTTCTACTCTACCACGCACGATGGTCTTCACCAGCGACCGGTCTCACCTGGGAGCGTGTCCAAAGTACACGAGAGGAGGCCTCACCATCCTTGCTCCTAAGGAGCATTCTGGCTGTATTTCTTCAGGACCGATTTGATTGGGCTTTGGGCAGTACTTTGCATATTCTTCGCCAGCACCATCATCCAAAAGCCTCAATTCTTTGGTCTTCCTTACGCAATGTCTCACTCTTATTAAGTCTCCAGTCTTGCTGGATTTATTTAACATACACTCCCAAAATCATACAGCTTCTTATTGCCTCATATTGAGGAGATCGGGGTCCATATTTTACCACACTTAATGAGCAATATGTTTGCTAATGCATCATTCTTACAGGAAAAAAAATTGAAGAATAAAATGTTAAGGCTAGGAATGATGCCCCTCCCCACAACAAAATCGTTCTCTGTAAGATCGTGAGGTATTTACGTACAATGGTAGGGCGACCTGACAGAATAAATCCAGTACTGCAAGCCACACTCACTGTCATGGAGCCAACTCAGACATATGGTAGCTCCATAGGACATAGTGGTGCTGTCCCTGTGGGTTTCTGAGACTGTAACTCTTTACACGGGTAGAACGCCACGTCTTTCTCCAGGGATGCAACTGGTGGTATCCAAGGGTTGAGCTAGCAGCCCAGCGGGTAACCATTATGTCCCAGGGCCCGTTCCCAATCCAGTGCCAGCCCTGCCAGCTTCTGACAAAGCAAACGCTGAGCTTTAGCTCTTTTATGTGTAAAATGAGAAGAGGGGTATCTGTCTGCCAGGGTTTTTGTATGGAATGTAAGTCCGTGAGGAAAATCATTTAAACACAGAGCTGGAGGTGGCATAGCCCCAGAGCAGCTGTTCTCAACCTGTAGGTCGCGACCCCTTTGGGGGTTGAATGACCCTTTCACAGGGGTCGCCAAAGACCATTGGAAAACACATATTTCCGATGGTCTTAGGAACCGAGACACCGCTCCTCTATCCGTCTCCAGGCTGGTCCACCCACCTTGCTTCAAGACTAAATTTCATTGATTTGTCATTAGAAATAAATATTGCACACTACATAATGACATATTATTTTGTGATGGCTCACTATGCTTTAATTATGTTCAATTTGTAACAATGAACATACATCCTGTATATCAGATATTTACATTACAATTCATAACAGTAGCAAAATGACAGTTACGAAGTAGCAATGAAAATAATGATATGGTGGGGGGGGGCGGGGGTGTCACCACAACATGACGAACTGTATTAAAGGGTGGTGGCATTAGCAAGGTGGAGAATCACGGCCTTAGAGGCAAGAAGGGCAGTATCTTTCAATAATAATCTATTAACATTGAGAACTCAGAGATTTCCTTTATGAATCAACAGACATTTATTCCAGGCAGACATGCACTATTGTGGAGCACCCATTTCCAAACCTGTTAGTATTTTGATCTTTATTAGCACGCTTCTTTTACAGCTGTCATTGCTATCAGGAGATGGAAGAGAACACGGAGAAACGCGGTTATTTGCCCAAAGTGTGGGACATCTCTATGGCTGTGGTCTGAGAAGAATAAGCATACATGCACTTTGGATCCTAGTCTTGAAATGATC